AGATTGCTCACAAAAATTTGCCTTCGAACCGGCAATCTGAGTCGAGAAAATTAATGGATTCACCCTTCGAAGAGAAACCCATCCATAAAAAATGGCATCTTGTAACCCAAAGGCCAAAAGCGTTACTGTAGATCTCTCAATAGAGAGATCTGACTCATTCCGAATCTTCTTTGTCCATGGCATGGTCTTCATCTTCACACCCACCAGTGGAATCAATGCACCACCTCTTCTCAACGTGTCGGCTTCGTCCACCATATCAACAACGACAACCGCAACCATACCACTGGTGCGCCATTGGTGTTTGAGAACACCAACAGCTTTATCTTCACACTCACCATCGTCAACCACACTCTTAACATGTCGGCTTTGTCAACCATACCACTGGTGTGCCGCTACCTGGGTTTGATGTTCGAATGAATGGAGAAGGAGGAGGTATAACCCTCGCGCAGAGGTATTTTAGGCATTACAAAAAATTATTAGGGACTGGTTCGTCCCATTTTTTGGAGAAGTACTTCTTCAAGAAGTATTTAAAAAAAGGCAATTTGAAGTCACTTTTTTAAAGAAGTACTTTAAAAAAAAGTATTTCTTCCCCACTTTTTTACCACACACAAAACCACTTAATGTGTGATCCCAACTCTTAAAAGAAGTACTTCTTAAAAGTACATCTTGTAAGTGTTCTCAAACACTACCTTAATGCAATATTCTAATCCTTTTTTGCCCCCTTTTTGATGCTTGTGTAGTCATGGATTCATGTATTATTATAATTCTTTGCTTTGCACAAAACATAATTTGTTTACACTTGAAAGTAGTGTGTGTGTTTGTGCACGTTCCTTGTCTGCTTCAATGTCTAGATTTACATTTTTGTCATTTCCTGATTTATTTTCTATTGTGCAGTTTCTCAAGTGGAGGTGAAGATGGTTATGTCAGATAATATCACTTTGATCCAGATTACTTCAATATCAAGATGTAACTCCCAAGCATGCTGACAAGGAGAATTTTTGTCTGTTTTATTACTTTGTTAAATGCTTTAATTCATTAGATATAATTTTGTGCCATTTCAGTCAGAACATGTCAAGTCTTGTTTGATGAGAACCTTCTGAATGGTAGAAACTGGAAACCACAAGAATTTTGTGCTGATGTAAAACTTGAAATTTTAATTGCTATTGCCAGGCTTGTCATAAGGTTAAACCATTAATGTAGTTTTTTTTTTCCCTAATATCTTGATGATACAGATCGAAGTCCATTTTTTGTATGGAAAATTCTTTGTGTGCCATGCTGGCTAGAGCATCTTCTTCTTATTTCCTTCTCCAGAGTCCAGAGTCCATACATGCGTAACTTTAACTTCTTTAAAATATCTTCCAATATTCTCTTATATTCTTGATTATTTGATCCGGCCATCTGTCCGTTCTTAACTTTGAATCACCCTTATGCCTGTTTCTGATTCTCTTTGCAAATACAAGTTTTTAACTTGACTTTGCTAATTTGATTTCTTTAAGCGCTGTCTATTCTCACTTTGATAGAGACAAAGGAAAGATTGCATTAATGATAGACCAGAAAATTACAAAGAAACAGGAGTTGCAAGGTGCAAACTCCCCAAGAAACAACAAAAATCTGTTTACAACTAAGCCCAGAACAGGTTTTCTCTATTTGCCCCTTGTTTATCTAAAAGGCCTGTCAAACCATTGGCTAATCACTTTTTTTCTGAAGATTCAGTGTTTCTTTATTCGTAGATGGTGCTGATCAGAATTGCCCTTGCACATGTCTATCCTTTTTTCTATATGGACTGTACAACTATACATGTTGAGCTTAGGTTGGTATGAAGTCCCCTCTGGTTTCTGAATAGAATTTCTACAGAAGATCTAGTGCTTTCCGAACTGATCCGTCAAGATTTACATCTATCCAATCTTGTTCTGCTTTCCACCATTTTATTTTGATTCTCACCATTTTCTTTCTTCCTGATTCTATGCGATAGTGCTGGGTGTGTGGCTGTGTTTATTATTATATTGGCTACAATTTATTTGTGCTCGTCTCAATTCCTCTTGGACGCTTCTACTTTTTTTCTCCAAAATTTTATTTTATTTTTCTATCAACCATTTAATGGAAATTACTCACAAGGAATATTTACTCTTTTGCACCATTTTATCGTCGTCTCCGTTTCTATTCTTCCATCTCTAATAAGTTGCCCCGTTGCAGTAGGATTGTGAGTATCTCGATACCTCCTGCAACATTATTTCAGCTGCCTGAGCATTCAATGTATAAATAATTTTGTTTTTCACAGAAAGCACAAAGGGGAAAAATATTAATTTTCATCCAGTGTAGTTCATCAAACGCTAGTCTATTCTAGTTCAACGGCCACATGTATACCTGAAGTCCAGGTGGGTAGCTTAGCTTTATGATATCTAAGTAACTTCGATTTATAGATACATGAATAAAAAGGTTTAAACACTTAGACCTCCATTGAGGTTTTTCTTAAATACTGAACTCCCTCTCTCCCTCCCCCCTTTTCAAATTGGATCAAGAACTTTCCTGTCTGTGATGTCATTTGACAGACCTCTCCTTTGTTAGCAATTCATCAAGATCCGTTTGCATGTGATTTCACATATGGTTGACTTTTTTTATTTTTTTTTAAATCTCAAATTTATCGCTCTATGAACCTTTGTCATGACTTCGAAAATGAAAAAATCCTTGAACTTGAGAATTTATAATATAATTTTGCAATGTTTAGAGAACCAGATTGGGCATAGAATTGGAAAAAGATGTTTATGAATTAGAGGTTGAACGGGGTTAAATCAGAGGTCGAACCGTGATGATGTGGCATATAAGCCTAACGAATTATGATCGCCATTTTGGATCGTCATTCTAGGACAAGAAAGTTTCGTCTGTTGTTTTCCTGTTCTCCTATATAGCCACACTCATTTCTCTATAAATAGGAGGCCCAAAACCCTCCGCATGATAATACATAAATTCGTATAAGCAGAGCATTAATTCCAAGTGGACATTTAGGACATTATGCCATCACAATTTTGCTGTACATGAATACAAATCATCATTGACATGTAGCAGAACTTTGGGCGTATACAAGAATAATCCTGCTTTACAATGTTCACATGTTTTGAAGCATAATAAGATTCTCCTGATGATTAATGGGAGTTATCTTTTTAAAATAGCCCTTTATTGTTGATGGTCCTAGGTTTTTGGTGGCCACAAACATAATCAAGAGTTTCAATTGTGACAGACTTACAAACAAAGGAGTTTGGGAGCGAGCCCTCTGACTCGTCCATATAATCATGGTTGCCAGTCTGAGGTTTTTACCACTGCACCAAGCAATGGTACCCACAAGATTATAATAACCTTGATAGATAAGGGGGTCTTCCTGAAGATACTTTGACTTAACATTATCTAATAAAATAACTTCCCCAAAATAGCTCTAAACTAACTTTCTATTTCCCAACCCAATAAATAATATAAGAAATAACAAACTAAATTTGGGCCCGCTAGCTAGACATCACCAATCCTTCCTTTTAAGAAGAGCTTGTTTCCATAATGTTTAGAAGTTAATAATTTCGCAAAAAGTCTGGGTTCAATTGCTATAATATTTTTCCTTGATTCACCTGCTATTTGCAGCCAACATCCTTCCTATTTCACCAATAACCTTCGATAATTTTCTGGTCAAATACAATCCACTTGGTGCTAAATATTGCTTCAATTTCTTTATGGTACTTCTTCAGTGATTCTAGAACGTGCATTTCACTCTTGGGGCAAAAAAAAAAAAATGATCTCTACAATATGTAGACAATTTTTCAAATTAAAGATTCAATTAATGCACATCCAAAGAAAGTGCAGTGAAGTATTTTGTCCAGAATGCTTCAAAACCTTAAGCAGGCCAACTTTCTTTGCATGCAACTTGTGAAAAATTCCATGAAGAATCTGTTCCTTCAATGTATGTATGAACACTAAATCACCTTCTTGGATATGCCATGCACTAATCTGTTCCTTCAATGTATGTATGAACACTAAATCACCTTCTTGGATATGCCATGCACTGGTTCCAGGTTACCAGCTTCTTTTCAGTGACAACACTGGCTGATCTGGCTGAATACTATAAGCTCAAAAAGAATGTAGATTTTTTTTTCCAGCAGTTCGATTGATAAAACTATTATGAGTATTCAGCTTATGAAACCACAGTACCCTAACTAGCATTTTCTCTCTTGTACATAGCAAGAAAAAGGTCTCCCAAACTTTAATTAACCGTCTTCCTCTGACCATTATACCGAAGGTTGATAAGCATCAAAAACATTAACTTGGTAAAAATTGATGTCCACAAAGTCTCTTGGAAGTAGCTAATATATTTGACATCTCTATCTACAATACTAAACAATAAAAACCCAAGTGAACAAAGAACCTCCTAAAGGCTATGTTTGGTTTTATAGAAAATAAAAGAGAAAAAGAAAGATGAAAGGGAATTCTTAATAAATTTTGTGAAATTCATTAAAAACATACCCTCAACCTGTGGCTCTCTTATTTTTATCAAACCAAATACAGCGTCAAGGAGATATTTGTGCATGAGATCACATCATAGGCCTTCTAGCATGGAGTGAAGTATGCCATTTTGGAGACTCTAAATTGCATTAGCATCTTGGTAAACCAAGAAAAAACTCCATGCCATGGCATTGCAGATACAGGTAGAAGCCAACACTAACTTGTGTTTCCTCTTCCCCTTGTTCCAATTTGGAAAACTGAACATCTCTTCATAACATCACCAATATCTTTCTTCAAACTATTACAAGAAAATCTATCTGTTTTTATCAAATCTGAAATGGTCACTCAATCTATAGCTTCATGCAGTTCAAGGATAATATGTTTCCAAAGAGAACCCCTGGGATACAGACAAAATTTATACAAGAGATAATTATTCTGGACCTAAAAAGCAGAATGCAATATATTGGGTCAAAGACAAATCTTGTCATCAGTTTGTTCAGTGTCTACATCAATAGATTAAAATGGCTGCAACCTTTAAAACTATTATAGACATCTTAATAAGCATAAGAAAAAAAATCATTGATTTAAGGCATCAAACTGCTACATTCTCCAGACCTGCCTTATGTTTTAAGTGAAAAGTAAATTGTAGAAACCTACCTTGCAATTCTTGGATTCAGACATCTCTATTATTTTAAATACCTCAAGGCTTTGTCTTCATATAATAGCACAAGCTCTTGTAACACAGGGCAGTTTGGTCAATGTTTCAATGCTTGGGTTATGAAGTAAAATTGTACCTTGAATTATTATTCTGTGCATCATTTAGGTTTTCACTGAAATAAGCATTTTATCTAGAAATTGTTTCAAAGCTCCAAATGAGAGACATCATATTCATAGGAGCCATAGGATTAGTGCTTCTATCCTTTTCTATTTAACAATTTTTTTTTGATAATAAATGAAAATTTATTAGAAAAGAAAAAGAGAATACAAAGAAAGGTGACCAGCAGTCACCTGGAAAAGGAGAGACTACACCTCTAAGGGAATGGGATTTTCTCCTCACACCGACCTCACAGCCACAACCCACCGTGTATTGGGAACATCTTCCATGAATTATACAAGTATGGGAGATGTTCCCAATGTGTGGCTGGGACATGCTGTAGGGGTTGGTGTGAGAAGTGCTTTGTGGGAAGCAGATCCGGACTCCCTCTAAGGACCAGCCCCAACAACCAATCCCCTAAACAACTCAGCAATCAACCAAAAAGCAAAGAGCCAAAACAACAAACCAACCCAAACCCCCAAAGCCCTGAAGCAGGACATGACTACACCAAACATCAATGAGAAAGAAACAATCTTTCCTCCCACCAACAACTTATAATGAGGCCTCTTTACTTCTCTTAATGAAGTTCTTTGAATTCTTCACCTTATTATGGGCCCAACTTCAAACAAACCCCCTTTTAATCTTGCAAAAAGTTTTGAAATCAGGACTGTTCTAAAGGATTTCTGACTGTTGAAATGTGTTACAGCATTTGGCTTCTTTTTCCATACCCTCGGTATTTTTTTTGTTTTCTTACCTGTTTTCTTTTTTAAACAATTATTTAACAGAGACCAAAGTTAGCTTGGTCATTAAAAATAATTAATAGTCATTAAGGGTTACCTGATGGAAGGCAAGTTTTGATAACAAAAATTCTCTGATAGGGATTTCGCTTCTTTTTCCAAACCCTTGGTATTTTTTGTTTACTTGCCTGCTCTTTTTTAAACAACTATTTAACAGAGGTCAAGGTTAGTTTGACCATTAAAAATAATTAATGGTCATTAAGGGTTACCTGATGGAAGGCAAGTTTGGATAACAAAAATTCTCTGATAGGGTCTGGAGGTTTTGAAAAGTCAGGGCAATTTAAGAGAAATGGGGAAAATGAAAGGGAATATTAGATAATTACCCGTTATTAATTTGTCTATGAATGAAGTTTTGCTTTTTCATCTTCCTTTGGTAGGGTTGATACCAATCCTAATGGGTGTTGAATCAATTTAGGGTATCCATGACAATTCCACACAATTTATTTTTCTCAAATCTACAAAGTGTAATTATTAATTGATTTGTTTATTCTAGATCTTGCACAATTAGGGTTTCCTTCCCAAGCACTCTGCATCAAGCTTGCATCCCAATTCATTACACTTGAAACCCACCTATTGTTTCACCCAGCCATTTCTCTTCCCCCTTTTGGCTCACTGTCCCCCTTTTTTATCAATTCGTTCTCTGTTCCATTTATGTATTAGAAAAATGACCAATAGCCTGCTTAGTTGCGACATGAATAGGAATGGCAACACGAGATGAGTATTTTAAGAAATATACTCATTTTCAATTAATTGTATATGGTTTCAAGTGCTATCTGAAACAAACATGAAATGATCCCATTTTACAAAGCATCCAGAAATACTATAAATAAAAGGCAGCAACTAGTAGACTTCCCATCCAAGATATTTAGCTACCGATTTGCATTGGTTCTCAATTGAATAGGTATATAAATTATACAGTGCACAAGAGAACTCATTCCATTCAAACTTGAAATTATAGATATACACGTATATATCCCAGCAATGTCAAATAATAGATAACACCTGGTATCAAAAGAGAAAACAGCCATATATGCTTTATATGATTATGATGCATACACTTATTGCATCAATCACATGTTAAAAGAATCTAATAATGTGGATATCAAGTATATGCAATTAGATACTGTTAATTCAACATGTAATAAAGGAGAAAACCTAATAAGATAAGAACTAAACACAAACAAAATTATCCTTGTCAGCATGTTTGGGAGTTACATCTTGATATTGAAGTAATCTGGATCAAAGTGATGTAATCTGACATAACCATCTTCACCTCCACTTGAGAAACTGCACAGTAGAAAATAAATCAGGAAATGACAAAAAAATGTAAATCTAGACATTGAAGCAGACAAGGAACGTGCACAAAGATATTGATGTAGAAACTAAACCATTTTGCAATCACTGTTCTCTCAGAAAGAGCATATTCTTCCCATGACATCTCCAAAGCCATTTCTTAAAAGGTGATTTATTCACTAGAACCATCTTTCCTAAATCCAATCCTCCCAAGAACAGGGGACAGTTAACCAACTTCCATTTTACCAAGAAAAATGTATACAGCTGTCAGCCCTTACATTCCAAAGAAAGTAACCATCTGGATCTGTTCCAACTTCCAACCTCTAGCCATTTGGCTCCATTTGGTTTGCAGGAAGGTGATAACAAACAGAACTTTGGAGACCATTGACTTCCCTCCAGATGTCTAAAATGTTGTTAATAAAAGCCCCATGATGTTTAACATAAAGAAAAGCATTAGTTAAAGGAAATTAAGAATTCAAAAAATCTTTCAGGGAAGCAATAAATAGAACTTCCTTAGAGTCAAACGCATTTGCTACAAGATCACAATAACTTATCAACTAATGTATTTTTTGACTATTACTCATCAACAAATGTCTAAGGCTATTGCAAAACCTCCAAACCATTTAGAATCCTCCTAAATTAGGATACCCCGCCATTTCATTGTATGAAGTTAACAATATTGGTTTTAATTTCTCCCTCTTCTAAGCATGCTTTTAATTAATTAAATTATCTTTCTTTGGGTCATTGTCACCATGCAAGAAATTTATTTGAAATCACTCCAACTTGCCTAGTCAAAAAATAAATAAAAATAAAAAATTGGGATTTCGATACTAGATGATCAATGACAACACCAATGAAGGAATGGTTTGGTGCAAGTAAAAAAAAAGCACTAAAGAAAGCATGGGAAATCCCTTTTACCATGGCCAACCTTAAGGGGCAGGATTTCCCTAGTAGGGTCTCAGAATTCAACAGATCCCTGGCCTCATGATCAGATAACTAGGAGACTTGTTCACAGGTTAAGAACAGAACTCATTTTCAGTAAGAAGCAAATTGGAAAATATAATGTAAAGATAAAAGATGAGAAAGACCTTCTTCCATCAGGATTGAATGCCAAAGCATTTATTGGTCCAAAATGCCCTTTCACGCCCCCAATTTCTTCTTGAAGGATCTATCCAGAGACAAATGTAAGTTCCCAAACATCATGGATCAAAAATTTTCTACAAAAAAAAAATAGGCATAAAGAAAAGATAGCTCACCTTGTGAAAGAATTTGGCCTCAAATTTCCCAGCACGACGATCAGTAGTTGTGACATGTGATGCTTCCTGGCCACCTCCGATTACCACCTGGAAAATGTATTATGTGTTGTCTTTAAGTACATTAAGGGACAAAAGCAACATCCAAATACAAAAGCAAAAGCATCATCCAATATTCTGCAAAGACATTAACCATAGATGCTGTGAAAGTTCCCCCTATGATGTAGGTATATATACACCAACGTAGAAGAGCAAGCAGCCCAAAAAGAAGGTCAGAACAAGAAAAAGAGACATCATTCTTGGCTTGAGATAAATTATGCAGCAGTCAAATTGCAAACTGACTTGGTTACTACAAGTCAGTTTTGTAATGAATCCCCCAAAGATCGGTTACTACAAGTATGAGAAATTTCAATGAATTAATTAACACCTGTGGGCTAAAGGAATTACCCTTTCTACAAGCTGACTTGGTCAAATTTCCAAGAAAACCCCCTTTGTTACAAACTTGATAGATTCCTTTTTAATGTAGAGTGGGAGGATCATTGGAGGAATTTGGTTGCTAAAACCCTTCCTAGAGTTACATCTAATCATTGCCCTATACTATTAGGTCAAGATGTTCTAGGTTTTGAACCTCGACCTTTCAGGTTTGAGAACATGTGACTAACCCATCCGGATTTTGAACGAAAGGTTGGGGAGTGGTGGAATGAAGATTTGAGAGGGGTTAAGTGGAAAGGTGTGAGGTTCCACAAAAAGTTAAGAGACTAAGAGCAAGGATTAAAGAGTGGAATCGGGAGCATTTTGGAAGGGTAGAAGATCAAAAGAATTCTTTTATGTCTAGGATTGATGAACTAGACTCTAAAGAATCCAGAGAGGTATGAATGAGCAAGAAAGGTTGTTGAGAAGCAGGTTAAAAAAGGAATTGGAAGAAGTTCTGCTTAGAGAAGAGATCTCATGGAGGCAAAAGTCAAGATACAAATGGATCAAAGAAGGGGACGGTAATACAAAATTTTTCCATGTGTTGGCTAATGGGAGGAGAAGAAGAAATTATGTGTCCAAATTAGAAGTGGATGGGGAGGAAGTCATAAATCAAGATGAGATAGCAAAAGTGCTGGTGGATCATTTTAAATCAATTGTAGGGAAGCCTCTGAATAATAGACTAAGGTTGGAAGGTCTAGATTGGCCCAGGCTGTCTGAAGAGCAAGCAAGATGGTTAGAGAGAAGTTTTAAAGAAGAAGAAATTAGGCAATGCAATGTTTTCAATGGATAGATCCAAAGCCCCTAGACCAGATGACTTCACCATGGCTTTCTATCAAGATTGTTGGAATGTGGTAATAGAAGACCTTTGCGCTGTGTTTAAGGAATTTGAAGTTAATAGCAAAGTAAGCCCTGGAGTTAGTACCACTTTCATAGCTCTAATCCCTAAGAAAAAAGAAGCAAAAAACCCTAAAGATTTTAGTCCGATTAGTTTGGTGACTAGCATTTACAAAATCCTAGCTAAAGTGTTATCCTTGAGGATTAAAGTAGTGCTACCCTCCATCATTAGTCAAGCACAGGGAGCTTTCGTGCAAGGGAGACAAATAACAGATCATATTCTAATAGCGAATGAATGTATGGAGGATATGAGAAAAGTCCGGAAAGCAAGGGTTTGTTTGTAAGTTGGATTTAGAAAAGGCCTATGATCTGGTGGATTGGAGCTTCTTACTAGAAATCCTAGGGTGTTGTGGGTTTGGAGTTAGATGGGGTAATTGGATAAAGAGTTGCATAAGTTCTTGCCATTTTTTGGTTTTGGTTAATGGGGTAGTCAAGGAATTTTTCCCAGCTCTTAGAGGTTTAAGGCAAGGCGACCCCCTTTCCCCTTTCCTTTTTACCCTAGTTGCAGATGTTTTTAGCAGCTTGATCTCTAAGGCAGACATGGAAGGTGTAGTGAGAGGATGGAAGATAGGAAGGAACGGTATTAGGGTGACCCACCTACAGTTTGTCGATGACCTAATAATCATTTGTGAAGGGGGTGATAGGAGAACAGTAAGTAATCTCAAGTCTTTGATAGAGTGCTTTGAGAGAGTATCAAATCTGAAAATAAATTTGGAAAAGAGCTTGTGTGGTGGGAGTGAATCTGGATGAGAGGACCCTTGAGTTGGTGGCTGAGTCTTTAGGTTGTCCTATTTCCTATTGGCCTTTATAGTACTTAGGTCTTCCTCTTGGAGCCAACCCTAAGGAGAGCACTTTTTGGGCCCCAGTTTTAGAAAAGTTTGAGAAAAGGTTAGCCTCGTGGAAAAGGAACTATATTTCTTCTGGGGTAGAGTTACCTTACTGAGAGCTTCCTTAGCAAATCTGCCGATCTATTATTTCTCTGTGTTTAGGATTCTAGTCAGGGAAGCCAAGAAACTAGAGAAATTTTCTTTGAGAGCAAGGGGAGGAAAAAAAGGATCACTTAATAAATTGGGGATTAGTGTGTAGGAGGAAAGAGGAAGGTGGATTGGGACTGGGGAATTTAGTTTTGAAGAATAAAGCACTCCTAGGAAAATGGTTGTGGAGATGGCCCCTAGAACAGGAGAGACTTTGGCATGAGGTGATAGCTAGCATACATGGCAGTTTGGGCAATGGATGGGATGCTGGTGTATCACGTCGAGCCACTCTGGCAACTCCTTGGAAAGTAATTCAGAATATTCTTCCTCTTTTCCTCAACTGTATCAGGTATGATGTCAATTCTGGTACTTCTGTTTTGTTCTGGGAAGACATCTGGGTTGGCAATTCTGCCCTTAAGGACAGTTTCCCTTCTCTCTATTCCATTTCTTGCTACAAGGGTAAAACAATTTCTCACTTTCTTCGAACATCTAATTCTCCATCTTCCTTGAGTTGGGACTTTGGATTTCTTAGGGGTTTGAGGGATCATGAACTCTCTCATGTTTCAGACTTGTAGTCACTGCTTGAAAGTGTTTTTCTGGACCTTTCCAGTTCTGATGTGAGACTTTGATCTCCAAACCCAAAAGGTTACTTCACATGTGCTTCCTTTTTTAAGTCCCTTTGCTCTCCCTTGGGACAAGTGGGCTTCCCAGCTAAGGAGATTTGGTCTAAACCTGTACCTCCTAAAATTATTATGTTTGTCTCCTAATTGGTGTGTACTTTGCAGGGCTAATGGTGAGGATTGCTCTCACTTACTTTTAACCTGTCCTTTTTCTGCTACTATTTGGGGTTGGATCTTTGCTTTGTTTGGTTGCAGATGGAATATGACCACAGCCATAGATCAAATTTTTTATTCTTCCTTCTTTGTGTCCCACAAAAACTCGTAAAACAATGTGCAGGAGCATTAGAGCTGCTACTCTGTGGACAACTTGGGAAGAAAGAAATGCGAGGATATTCCAAGAAAATGAGAGAAATGTGCAGAATGTGAAGGATTGCATTTTGACCAGGGCAATCCACTGGCTGAGATCATCAGATTCCTTCAAATTATATTCTTTTGATGACATGTGGAGGAACTGGAGGGCTGTGGCTAGTAGCAGTAACAGAAGGAACAGGGTACCAGCTGTATGGGTACCCCCTTCAGAAGACTGGACAAAGCTGAATTTTGATGGTAGCAGTCAAGGAAATCCAAGGCCTTCAGGGATTGGTGGGGTGCTGAGAGACAAAGATAGTAACATATTAGCTTTGTTCTCAGGCTCAGTGGGTATAGGAGACTCTATCAGAGCTGAGCTCCTAGCGGCAGTACAAGGCATTCGGGTTGCGGATCAGTTAGGAGTTCAAAATTTGATTATTGATGGAGACACCAAAGTTGTTGTGGGTTGGCTAAAAAATCCAGATTCAGTGATCTGGTGCTACAAGGGTATTATGAGGAAAGCTAAATGGTTCTCAAGGAAAATGAATGTTATTTTTCAGTGGGTGGGTAGAACAGCTAACACCATAGCGGAAGCGTTAGCTAAACAAGGGGTATCAAGGGAACAGTTTTTCTGAGCACCTTTGTAAATTTTTTGTTACTAGTCTGAGGTAGTACATTGTTGCTATTGTGGAGAGGTACCAGCTCATGCCCCTCGTTTGGCAAGGCTGTATTGCAATCTTATTGAATTATTTATCAAAAAAAAATTGTGAATGATATTGGAATGAAGTTTTATGCCTATAGAAGTCTTTATCTTCTATCTAATTCTACAAGAAATCATTACAACCATCAACATCCCTCAAATTCTCCATCAAGGAGTTCACTCAACATATATATAGGACTGAAACTAATCCAAGTATGTTTTTTCTCTAGTTTCCACAAAACTTCCCATTTCGATAGTTATCACCTTAATTCTACTATCCCAGTTTTATGCCAAAACATCCCTGTTTATTTTCATGCTTGAACTCTCCCAATAGATATTTGTCACCTTAATTCTACCAAAATCCATCTCTTATCAGTAAGCTCCACCTAAAACTCATTTTTTTTAAATTGGCAGTTTCTTTTGCAAAGTTTTTTCCCATTCGTCGAAATTTTGCCCAAGATATTTTTGAGAGATAAAATTTTGCCTTCTTAAAAAATCTCTACATACAAATTTTATAATGACTATAAAATTTTATTGAAAAATAAGAAGGTATATATGGGTTGCAAGATATCACTATAAGCAGAACCGCACCACTGGCCAACCTTCAAATTCCCAAAACCACATACAACCCTTAAAAAATCGGGACAGAATAAAAACAAACAATCCTGCACCAGGCCCTAACAACACAGCATGGTTCAAAGTATCGATATGCCTCTGTGTATCGCCAGAGGCGTACCGGTACACTTAGATACAAGCAGAAATGGATTTTTTTAGTTTTTTTTTTCAAAAGTTGGTTTTTGGGAAGATACTTTAACATATTTTTTATTAAAAAAGAGTGGGGTCCCGAAATACCTGTAAACAGGCATTTCAGACCCCAAAAGATACAATATGATACGCTCGATATGGGGCATATCATATCAACACTTTGAACCTTGCAACACAGACCGCAAAGGAACAACCATCACCAGCCAACCCAAGAGAAAGGAAGATTGATCCCTCAGCACCTATCCCCTAACACAACCCCTTATATCCTCTGGCTTCCAAAGTTAAACTTATTAGAGACTAAGACCCATTAATTTGACCTAAATTACCTAAGCACCCCGATATCTATGACTTGACTCCTACATAACCTCAAGAAAGAAACTACCCATTAAGCCATTACATACACTCCAATGAAGATGGGCAATCATTCCCTCTCTCTTTCTACTCTAATGCAAGGAAAACTTTTCTTGCAAATGTCTCACCTCCCAATAAGAAAACTAGTAATTTCTTGCCAACCTCAACTTCATTGTGAACAACAGTACTAATATCTATTTTCTTCTCGATCAAACACACTTAATTCATAACCACCAGGACATTCAGTCTCCTTTCTCAACATTCTCCTTTACCAAGCAGACACTATCCTATCCATCAGCAGCTTCAGAAAAATCACATTTACAAACCCTCTGGTCCAACAAATTTGCCTGATGACAAATGCCCTTCACTGGACTGTTTTTGTAAACTTTTTTCTTGCAAGCAACAACCCCAAACAATCCACCTCTAAGATGGAGAAAAGAAAAACTTTAGAAATATGGATTGATCTTTTGAGTTTTCTGTGCTTTGATACGTCCACTCAAACTGATGATTGCATCCTACTTAAGTGAGGTTTTTCCCTTTGATTCCTTCCAATTTATATTAATCTTCTCAACATACACTCCATCACTTAACAATTTTTTTATGGCCAACAGAATATTTGCATTCAATGGCAATAGAAACTTTGCTATCCAAAAGATAAGATAGCAAAACAAATAGGAACAGCTCACAGCTGGCAAGACATATATGTTTCTCCTGTATAAAGATACCAGGCCCTGACATTCCCATTTCTCCAAAGCAGACATTGCACCATCACCCTGGTTTTTGCTACACAATCAACCAGTCCTTTGTCGGTCATAAAAGTCCACCAGAACAAGCAGTTCAGCTGCTCCTTAGGTTTTATTTGTGTGATAGATTAGTTGGTTGATCTATTAAAATCATCTGCATTTTTTTGTGTTTAAAAGTTAATTAAACTTACTCTATTATATAATTTGCAGCATATTGTTTTGGTCTTTTAACCTTAGTTTCCTCACTTTGTCAATGTTTTGGAACAAAATGATAATATAAAGGAGCATCTAAGGCAAAATATCAATGTATATTTCCACAAACCTTAGTTTCTTGACTTTGCTTCTCAAAATATCAATGTATATTACCACATATTTGACAAGATTGCCACCATATCCATATTTTATACAATATTTCCATATAACAATTTCATTATGTTTCCTCTATTTGGATGATTGACATTTCCACCAACACCAACAGTTCAACCCTTGGAGAATTACAACAATATACTAGCCCCGAGAAGCTAAGGACCTGTCTGGAAGGGCTGCGCTGAAGATTCAGCTAAGCTGGTTCAGTTGCTTTGAAGCACTCCAGATAAGTAATTCAAAGGGGCTGAAGTGGACAGCCCTTCAAATGAACTGACTGACAGCTGATTCAGGCTGCTCTCCAGATTATTCAATAAACATAGGCTACATAGCTTATACCATGTCCATGTGGAGCCCACCTCCACAAGCCAGAAGCCGCTGGCTTCAGTCCTCCCAAATGGACACTAAGTAGGAATTCCCTCCATCAATCAGTTCCACAATCTCTACAAAGTTTGACTAAATATTTCATTCATATGTTTTTTTTTTTCTATCCTTCCACATTGTAATGAAGGATCTGCAATTTCACCAAAGGGAGAAATTACAACGGAAATGCACTGAAGCAGTCATCCTTTGGTCAGTTTAGGAGGAGAGAAATGCAAGAATTTTAAAGGAGATGATTCATACGGCAGAAGCATTGATTGAAAGCATCATAATAAAGGTGGTTTCTTGAGCTAAAACTCTATCTATTTTCGAACCCTTCTCAGTAGATAGAATTATTAGAGGTTGCCAACATATAGTTTCACCTTCACCTGTAGTCAACAGATTGACTCCGCAAGTACCAGAAACAGTCTCAAATTTAACTTTAATGGGTGCAGCATGGGAAATTCAGGGTGATCAAGTATTAAAGATGTGTATAGACACCAAGATAGCACATTAGCATCTTCAAATTCAGGACCTATTGGGTAAGGTAACTCAAGAAGAGCAGAACTAGTGCATGGAGATTTCAACTATAACTGGCTGTAAGTGGAGTAGAACTAAGATGTTACAGTGGGATGGTTCAGAAGCAATAGCCAGTGGCCATGCCAATCAGTGTTTTAAAAGCACAAGGCGCAAGGGCCAATTTATGCCCAAGGAGAGAGGCACAAGGCAAGGCGTGCGCCTTTTTGAAGAAAGGTGCAAAAATACAAAAAGCTGCTAAGAATTTAAAAAAAAATGTCAGAAAATTCAAAAAATGCAAAAAAATACTAAACATAATATTAATAAGAAATATAAACTTAAATTTTAAAATTAATGGTATAAAACTTGTTATCTAAAATTAAAATACATAAACATAACATGTAAAGCATATTCAAATGAAAATTTAAAAATAAAATCAAACATATAAAACATTTTCAAGCATGTAAAGCCCACAATCTCTTTTTTTTCCTCAATTGCATTACTTCAAGTAGCTAATGTGATGTAAAACATATTAAATTCCTGATTCTATGAGTCACCTTTGTGCCACGCCCCTCGAGGCAAGCCCAAAAAAGTCCATGTTCGGGTCATAAAGAACCCACTATTTGCTAATGTTGTTCATTCGTTCATCTTAATAAAATATCTTCTTAAAAAGCAATTGAGATTATAAAATCATTATTTTTTGTGTGAGAACTAAGAATTTAAGACCCGAACATGGACTTGTTTGGGATTGCCTCGAGAGGCATGGTCGGGGGTTTGGGGGTGAAGCCCTCGGCCCAGCCGCTAGGTTCAAAAAAAGCAAAAAAAAAAAAAAACGTACAATTTTCAAAAGGCACAAGGCACATCAGGTGCACGCCTAGGTGCACCAGGCGTGTGCGTTTTGAAAGTGTTGCGCCTAGGATCTGGGCAAGGCGCCTACCCTAAAATGAGCCTCACCTATGTGCCTAGGCATGCCTTTTAAATCATTGATGCCAATATAGACATATCCTCAGAGATCAGACATCTAGCTAGAAATTTGGAAATTAGATTCACTTAAAAATGTAATAGCATGGTAGATGTTTTGGCTAGAAAAGGGGTCAACAAAACACACCTATACAGGGGGATAATTCCTAATGGAAATAATAATGGTCTAACTTTAAAAACAAAAATGTAATATGGGGTCAATGGCAGAACTAGCCTATATAATTGGAATGTGTGGCATATTCATTGATCATTGTATATATACACATATTCTTTCATAAAAATTAATAAAGAAGACTCCTTTACCAATTAAAAAATGGCAGATCCTTTAGTTCTCAACAATTGACCTAAAACCTTTCTAACCACTAACCCTTCCCTTTTGTCCTAATGATCCCTAAACCCTTCTCCCCCCATTTTTACCCTCCCAATCCCATCCTTATATCATAGCATTGGTATTAGAGAAGCCAGATCTACATTACCAAGATACCTTGCCAAATGGCTCCTCATGTGAAAACTAATCAACCCATGACAACACAACCAACACCAAAAACAACAAAAGAGGCATTACAAACAACGTTGTGACAGAAAAGGGTTATCCATGAAAAATATTGCTTATGAGGCCTCGGACCTATTTTGAGTGTTACATTAAGTACCCAATCTTACTAAGAATGTTATATTTTGTCAAAACTTCCTTTCCCCAACCAATCACCCCTCAAGCAAACAGAAAGAGAATACTATTTAGATTCCATATAATGTATAAACATATAGTATCAATCAAAATTCTTATGTCTCCCAAAACCTTTCTCCCTTTCAAAAAAGTAAAAGATAAATAAAAAATAAAAAATAAGAACTACCCCTCTATCTAAAAACAAAAAATAGGTAATAGCCTAATCACTGAATTGAAAGATAATAGAATTTTGACTTCCTGCATTGAATAAAAAAGTAGAATTCAGAATTCCTTGACTCTCTATGAAGTTACCAAGAAAACTTATTTCTTGATCTCTTTCAAATCTTATACCATTTCTCCTCTAGAACTCATTACACCTAGGACGGAACCATTTCCTACATCACACTGCTTGTTTTCTCAGAATCACAAGGTAGAAACTAGAAAGTACTTTTTTCCTCCCCTAATCTCATTTAAAGATAGGTAAGATAAAAAAATAGCAATAGAAAGTGGGAGTGATTTGACCACATGACATTTTTGGGCACATTCCCAGTGAAAGGAATAAAAGAATCTCCCACTCACAATGAAAAAAAAAAAAAATTGAACCATAGTAGTAATTGTGTCTAAAAAACATGTGAACGTTGACTACTAATAAGACATCTACCCTGTATCAGAAAAGCTTTGACCAAATTCACCCCCCAAAGCAGGAAAAATGATATCAACTGGCAGCATTTCCCTTTCATTTTTGTAGTACATGAAAGGAAAGATCATATAAATCTTAAACATGTATGCACAATAGATTCCTTTCTTTTGCACCTATCTGTCAAACTATATAGGTAAATAGATAGATCATACGTAAACAAATAGAAATATGTATGCACAATATATACATATAATATTATTAAATAGATATTATGCATATATACACACAGTCCAGCTGATAAGAATGTGGAAAGGACAACTGTTTTTCCACTTTTTCTAATACGAGTGGAAATTTGTTATAACTAGATCCACACCATAAAATCTGTACGAATTGTTATCAAACATAAATGCTCATAAATATCGATTCACAGAAGCTGCATGAGTACATACATGATCAAGAAGTGGAGACATTGCAACAGCATTTACTGGCCGCTCTGTCACATATGTCTTGACCAGCGTCAATGTTCTGGTGTCCCAGAGCTGTCATGACCATGAAAAGAATCCAAACCAAAAGGGATATAACAAATCATTATCACAATATGTAGAGAATAAGAAGAAAGATCACAGAAACAGATGATTTAAGCAATAAAGCACCTTGGCAGATTTATCCAAAGAACCAGTGAGGAAGTGTGACCAGTCTGCAGATTTTGCCAAGGATGTAACTGTCTTCTGATGGCCACTTTCTTTGTCTGATTCATTAATCAACTTTCCTGTCTACAAGTTCAAAAATATCCTAAAATTTGAGACTCTAAGCAAATGAAAATAAATAAAGCTAAATGAAACAAGGGTGAAACCAAAAAGTAATACATTTTCCATACATAGATGAGCTAATCAGATATATACACAACACCTTGATAATAACAGGAGAATTATAGACATATAGATGAGCTACTGACCTCAGTATCCCAAACACGGGTTACTGCGTCTTCACCAGCACTTATGATAGTCCTGTTCAAGGGCCCCCAGATAGCTCTATTAATTCTACCTTGAGGTCCCTTGATCGTAAGAACAGATTCACCAGTTTCTGCACCATAATGGTATTGGTTATATCAAAGTTGTTTACATCTTAAATAAGCATTACAACCAGAAAAGGCAGCACATCCAATAATATCTCACATCTTGATGGAAATATCACCATTAGTATAAAACTCAGGCACTAGAATATGAAATACACCTAACAAAAAGCCAAAGAAAATTTAAAAAAAAAAACTGTTACTGAGATTACAAAGAACAGGTCTTCATTGTGAAGTATACAAAGGCTAAGAGTCAATAAAGGTCCACAAACTACAACAAGATGAAAAGAACAGCCTAAGAAGGAAGTAACCCAATAGGCCAATACAACTCCTTACCAACTCTCCTCTACAAAGGTTCTGTATCCATCCAATGACACCATGGGAGTTTTCCCAACCTGTGCCCTCTTCCTTAGTTTTATTAATGATAAATCATTTATTAATCAAAAAATAATAATAGATCATCCACATGTATATATATGCTGGTCACTCTATAAAGGCAATCAACTGTACAGTAACTAGACATTGAATTATGCATAAAAAACTCTATCTGCAAAACCCCAAGAAAAAGTGAACCAAATTCATTTAGTCCCTTCTGTAATGAGGGCCAAATAAGCAAACTTGTAACCCTGTTAACCATTTTGTCCAATGAAGAGCTTCAGTCATCAAGCATTACCCTACTTCTCCCTTTCTAGACCACGAGAAAGGAGAGTAAAAAATGTACCCATGCCAAGCAGTGATCAATGTTTTAAAAGGCATGGGAGGCATACAACTGGAGGTGTAAAAAAGTCACATGTGACCAAATCATCTTAGTCTACTTACTCTCATTTTTCACCTATTTGAGCTACACCTAGGCCCATAAAAAGCGGGACTTCATTTCTCAACCCATCATTTAGCATACACATTTCTGCCACACTCATTTTTTTGGAAATGTCTCTTGATTCAGGCAACAACTGTTTCGGGCTTCCAGTAACTGTGATTATGATATTAGGGGGATGACTTTCATGTCATCAAGTTGTACTATTCTTATTTATAATCCAATATAATAAAATTAATTTTCTGCTAATCAAAAAAACAAAAAGAAATGTCTCTTGATTCCACAACACTCCGCTCCATACAGCATTGCAGGCCTTACAACTGTTTTATAGAATTTCCCTTTTAACACAAGTGGTATTTGTCTATCACATAAGACTCCAGAAGTGCCCTTCCATTTTTCCCATCCTACTCTAATTCTATAGTCAACATCACATCTCCCTTGTTTTTTTTCTCTTGATAAATGAATGGTAATTTTATTAAGAAGAGAAGAAAGTATACAATCACCCCAAAAGGATGCACAAGATGTTACCTCCCTTTAGAAATGAAAATATTATCACAAATAAAGTAGCCCAGAACAATTCACCCCTTGTTTAGCCAAAGAATCAGCCATAGCATTTGCTGATCTACTAACCCACTAGAATCTAACTAGCATGTTCCTTGCAAGCCAATTAACTTTCTTGATAAGAACCTTGTAGCCCCAAAAAAATGTTTATGGATCTGACAACCAACCCAATACCACCCTGGAGTCCCCCTCAACTATCAAGTGCTCCACTCCAAGTCGGTTTGCAACCTGTGTTCCATGTATCGCAGGCAGTATATCAATCCTTGTAGAGTCACCAACTCCCACTGGTCCTAAAAATAAGGATAGGATGTTGCTATCCTTATCTCTCAAAATCCCTCATATACCCAAGGGTCCTAGATTACCTTGGCTGTTCCCGTCAAAGATCAACTTTACCACTCCCTCCAGAGGAGGTCTCCATTCTATTTGTAATCTATTCTTTTTAGAGGTTGTGGAGGCTACTTCTGCCCAACTTTTCCAAAATTCATCAAAGGAATAATTCGCAAAAAGATCTCAAGTTTTCAACCAAAGAATTGTCCTTGTCAATATGCACTCCAACTTGAGTTATCTTTGTTATGAACAATTGAACCAAGTTAACTTTTGGTCTCCGATCCTAAGTGTACTCTGATTTAAACTCCTATTATAATTAAAAATAGATGGAACATATTCTGTTTTCTCATACTTATTTTAAAACCTCTTGTTTCTATGGTATTTGTCCATAAACTTAAGTTTGCATTTAACGCATAAGCATAAAAAACATATATAAATTGAAAATATGGAAGTCAAAGAAAATATGTGGATTGTATAAATTGCATCAAGCACTCAACAAGATTAGCTAGTATGATGTTAAACAAGTCCAAACAGGAGTTTGGGGCAGCACTCTTTGACCTAATCTTTTTAGCCGATATGTATAAAAACAATGGTAAACACTAATAATTTAGCAGTGGATATGGCTTTAAACAGCACAAATTGGTGAAACAGTATTCATATAGCCAACCCCATATAGTTGGGATCAGTGTCTTAAAAGGCATAGGAGGCATACGCTTGGAGGTGTGCCTCCAGGCGAGGCGCTCCCAAAACGCCCTGAGGCATATGCCAAAGGCGTTGACACCTCTAAGGCATACATACACCTCAGGTGCAAGAGGCGTACGCCTCATGCGCTTTTTTCATGAGGCGTGCTAGAAGCATACGCCTCATGCGCCTCGTGCACATCTTATATAAAAGGCTAGAAAAAAAAAAAGGAAACGAAATGAAAAGAAAAGAAAGGGAAGGGAAAGAAAAAGAAAGAGAAGAAAAAAAAAAGAGAAAAGGAAAGAAAAGAAAAGAAAAGGAAAGGGAAGAAAAGAAAAGATAAGGGGAAAGAAAGTGGTTGGCCCCCTGCCCCTTCAGCTCCGCTTCGACAAGACCCCCCCCTTTCAACTAATGTTATGCCTCTTTATTCTTCTTAATATAAAAGATTTTATTTACAAATAAAGAAAAAATGAGATCCCCCCTTCCTCTTCATTCTCCTCCCCTTCCTCCTCCTAACCCCCCTCCTCTTAAGGAGGCTTACGCCTCCTTGTGTTCGGAAGGCTTATGCCTCTTGCGTTTTGAACTACGCTTCACGCCTCTAGGTAGTGGAACACCTCGTGTCACGCCTCCGCGTTTTAAAACATTGGTTGGGATAAGGCATGGATAATGATGATGGTGATATAAAATGGGTGCTCTTGTGATTTTTGCCACAGTTCATTGTATTTTAGGGTTAAGTATCATATATGAATTGTATTGTTGTTGCTCCGTTAGTAGAAACTTTGCTATTTGAAATCCTATTTGCAAGAACCAAGGCTTCAAGTATTTAAAAGGTCTTTATTTTTGTTTAATTTAAAAGTTAATAGACCATTATTGATGGAGATCACTTTGAGACCAAAGCAGCACACAGAATTCATGCTTATTTTTGGCATAGACAACACTTGTTTAGAGTTTACTTTAATTAATGCAAATTTTGGGTTTAATTGTAAAATTTCTTTTTAGTTGGACTTATTTGCAATTTTCATATTTGATAGGGATTTAATTATAACTTTCAGTTTTTAGCTTTCTTATAAATTTACATATGTATTATGTTATGTTTTGGAGAACAAATTCTTCTTCTTCAACTTGTCTTCTCTCTCCTCTCTTGTGCTTCTTCCCTTCTTCCTCTTGTTCCTTCCTCTTTTCTTCTAACAGGTGGGGCTGCACCATTTTGGTATTAGAGCCAAGGCTCAATCCCATGCCTCTGCCCAATTCAACCATTGAACCAAAGCAGTTGAATCTCAACCAACTCCCATCATTGTCTCTATCCATTGACTGAACAAAGGTCAGTCGCTGTCTCCTCTTTCTCTTTCTTCTCCTCCTCCTCCTCCTCCTCCTTTCTCTCTTCTCTCCAATCTACAGTAAAACCTTACAACAGGAACTGCCTCACACACTCTCTCTCTCTCCCTTGTTTCTTTGCTTCTCTTTTCCTTCTTTATCCCTTCTCCTAGTCATTGTCTCTCTTTCTTTCCCTTCTCTTCTCAACTCCTTAACCTCTCATTCTCCTCAAACCCCTCTTCATTCTCTTAGTCTCTTCCCTGTTTTTTGGTTCCACACCAGTCATCCAACCATATACCCGAACCAGCCACTAATTCAAATTAAAAAAAAATAAAAACATAATATAGAGGCAGATGAACCAACCACTTCTTGGGTTAGGAACACAACTGCAAACAACATTGGGAAGTTGTTGTCTTCATTTCCTGCAACTAAATTAGGCAACATCAAAAGGCCTTCATCATAGAAACTGCTACTCACCAACAGCACACAAATTATCAAGAGGACAGGGAAATTATTTGTCGTAGCTAAATCCAGAAAAAGCTAGAGGTCACCAATCCAAAGACTCGAGTATTCAGTTCTGGCCAGAGTTATAGAAAACACATCTCAGCTAAATAGGAAGGTATTTCGGGGAAATTCTAAAGGTATATCTCTTCCATTTGGATTTTGGGTTAGTAGGCTGGTCATTGCTATCAGGTCCTTAGCAATCTTGTGAAAGCTGAAAATACATACATAACCATCAGTAACCTACATATCATCGCGTGCCTTAATCCTTTTTTCATCCAACAAAAGGGCAGGCCACTTATTTCTATAGTTATTCCCTATATATATCTCACACCTATATTCTTGCAAAAGCCTAGAATAGTTTCTTTTTGAATTTAGATTTTCTAAAAGTGCCTTGCATTAATTTAGAGTTTTAATTACTTGTGATATTTTGTTTGCATTGGCATTCACCCATTTACTTTTATCCTATTATGCTTCCCATAATACCCTATCATCATGGTTACCAATGTTGAATTTTCTATTAGGGTAGAAGCTTTGTCCAAGAGCCAAGAAGCCTTGACCAAAGCCCAAGAAAAAACAAAAGCACTTTTTGAAGAGAAGATACAAACCCTCATTCCAGATATAAATGCCCTTAAAGAGTCTATGCCTAATTAATGAAACAGATATCTATATCCATGGGTAAGTGCCCTGTTGAAGACTCAATGAATGATCCCCAAGTGTCTATCGTAGGGCATAATTATCAAAATAGTCAAACCCAAGGTCCCACAGGTTCTAATGCTCAACAACCGGGAATTCTCCCAAACCCAACTACTATGATCCATGAACTACGACGAATATGGGCTAGGAGAACCTAGTTCCAAATTTAGGAGATACTCACAATCCAAAAATGCAATCCAATCGAGTGTTAGGCAGTGGGTACTATATTGACAATCCGCAAGAATTAGATGATGAGGATGATTTTTAGGAAAGTAAGGGCATGTTCGTTTCCTCTTAACTCTTATCTCTTAAGAGGAATCCTTTAAGTTTAAGAGAAAATTGGTTGTTTGTTTCCTCTTATCTCTTATCTCTTAAAGTGCAATCATACAAATTTTTGTTTTCCAATGATACCCCCAAAAAACAAACAAAAACTCTCACATATGGGGTTAAAATGGATATTTTATAGCTTTCAGAATTAGCAATTCAGAACAACATTCTCTGCATTTAGAGTTCAGAGGAAAGAAAAGTTCACCAATACCAATATACCTCTTAATGTAATTATTACACTTTCAGATGTCAGACTCCTGAGCAAACGAGCAGGCCCTAACTCTAAGGATCACCCTAGGCATAGGCAATATCATGGTAGGCATCAAGACAAATTCCCTCCACATAGTCAAGGTAGGATTCAAGATGACCGAAGAGATTTCCCTAAGGATGATGAAATCACAAAGAAGGTCAAGTTTTCTAAACTCCTCCCTTGCCATAAAATTGATGATGCCTCAAATGTGACCAAACTATTTTTCAAGGAAATTAATAGGCTCCATGGTTTGCCTACTACAATTGTGTCAGATCAGGATGTTAGGCTTGTCAATTATTTTTGGAAAACATTATGGAAACTCTCGGGTACTACTACAAAGTTAAAATTTTCAACTGCTTTTCACCCAAAGATTAATGGTCAAACTAAGGTTGTTTACACATAGGTAGTTGAGACTCAATGTTGCCCATTGCATAATTTGCTTATAACAATTCAATCAATCAATCACCCGGCAAAACACCTTTTGAGGTTGTCCAAGGCTTTACCCCTCGTACACTTGTTGACCTTGTTCCCTTACCTCTTGATGCTCATACTTCTGCTTCTACTGATTCTTTTGCCCAACATATCCATGATTTGCACGCTAGTATAAGATGAAAAATTGCTTAAGTAATGAGAGTTATAGACTTGCTGCAAATTCACATCATAGAAATCAAAAATTCAATGGCAATATTCCTGTGAGTCATGAGTGTTAGCCAAAGCACTCCTTTAAAAAGTTACATACTCAAGCCAATAGCCCATTTTGCATCGTTTGAAAAATAGGACCTAATGCGTATGAACTTACTTTCAACCATGAGAATTAGCTCAGCTTTCAATTTGGAGGATTTTCTTCCTTATCAAGTCACCTTTGAGCCTCTTACTCTACCTGCAGGTCTGCCCACAACCAAAACTACTTCACCTTCAGTACCCATGCCAACCAGGTCGAGAGTATTCTCCAAGATGAAATTATCACTTCCAAAATAAGTGGTTGTCAATGTTATCTTGTGAAATAGAAATGTTGTCCTGACACCGATGCTACTTGGGATTTCAAAAGAGGAGCGTTGTCGCCTAGACCAAGATCTAATGGAGCAATATCATTCCCTTACCTCTCCTAAGGAGACTTCTTTTCAGTTTCTAGGTTTCTTATAAAGTCACATTATATTTTGGGTTGTATTATGTTATGTTTTGGATAAATACAGATTCTTCTTCTTTGACTTGTCTTTTCTCCCCTCTCTTCTTCTTCCCTTCTTCCTATTTTCATCTAACAGATGGTGCTGCATCAATTATTAGTGTACAAACAACAATAAAAAGCAATTTGGAAAATTAGAAGTTGATCAAACATACAAAGGCAAGAAACATATAAGAATCTACAAAAAAAAAACAAGAAAATTCTTATATTTAAAAAAGGGGATGTTCTGTGCAAACCTTAGGAGGTAAAAACTAAATTAATTTGGACAATTATGCTTTACTCCTATGGGAATATTCAGTGATTTAAAAGGCGCGCCTAGGCGCATTTTGGGGTATGCGCCTCGCCCAAGTCCTAGGCGCACCTCTTTCAAAAGGCACGCGCCTGATGCAGGTTTTACAAAGGCGACTCATAGAATCAAGAATGCAATATGTTTTAGATCACATTAACTACTTGAAGCAATGCAATTAAGGAAAAAAAAGAGGTTGCATTTTTAAATTTTCATTTGAATACACTTTACATGTTATGTTTATGTATTTTGATTTTAGATAATAGGTTTTTTAAATCATTTATTTTAAAATTTAAGTTTATATTTTTATTAACATTATGTTTTGATATTTTTTAATTTTTTTTTGCATTTTTTTAAAAATTTTGGGAGAATGACCAATCAGCCCAGATCAGAATTTTATAGCCCCAAAGTACAGGGGGAATGCATCCTGACCGTGAATTGATGCCAAATTCACGGGCAGGATGTGGTTTATAGGGGGGGAAAGGGCTAGTAGTAGGGGGGGTGGAATTCAGAATTCTGCATCGGGTGTATCCGTACTTCTCCAAAAAAAAATTGGCATTTTTTGGAATTTTCTGGCTTTTTTTTATTTTTTAGCTTTTTTTGTAATTTTGCGCGCCTTTCTTAAAAAGGCGTGCGCCTCGCCTTGCGCTTTTTTTTTTTGCACCTTGCACTTTTAAAACACAGGGAATATTACTGAATAAATCATTGGAAATCTTATGAGCTAGCTCATGAATTTTTTAGTTGAAGGTCTATGTTGTTCATGACAAATTCATTAGGACTTCGACTGTGAGCCTACAGGATGCATGAGCATTCTGTGAATAATATAATCCACAAGCATTCACAAGCGCATCTGAAATCGACAATGTAATCACTTCACTCTAGGTGTTTCCCAAACGCCTCATAAATGCATACATGGGAATAATGTAATAATTAACTAAATCAAAATTCAAAGAAGAAACAAGATAACCTTAGTCAAAACTCACAAATAAAAAGACCTAATGGAATATAGAAGAAGGAACATACGGTCACTAGGGTCTCTCGCGATACGCTTCACATGAATGGCCGAAGTAAGTTCCATGAACGGATCGGTAGTGATAACTGCAAGCTTATCACCAATAGAAAAATCCACAGATCTAGTTGGAGAACCAAAGTTGAATGTGTAAAGTTGAGTTCCAGTCTGAACATTCCATAGCTTCGCCGTCTGATCCGCGCTTCCAGTTATAAGTCGCGTAGAATCCCCTGAACACCAATGCATCAATCTCGCTATAAAAATACCAGACAGACTCCACAGAAATAACAAAAGGCCAAGATCGAGATTAAATTCTTATCTATAAAAATAAAAACTACACGAGCTTACTTGATACGTCACAACACCAAACAGCACCATTGTGGCCTCTGTAAGTCCCCAACCGCTCGCCATTATCGGCAAACCAAACTGTCGGCGTGTGGTCTTTCGCACAGGAGAAGAGAAGATCACCTTCTCTGTTGTATTTAAGAAAAGTTAATGGCCTCTCATGGCCTTTCATCAGAATTGGCCTCATATTTTCAGATATCTAGCAGTTGGCGCGAAACCCTACAAAAACCCTAAATTCTGAATTCTTTGCTGATGAAGAAAGCTAGCAGTCGCCGAGAGAGACTTTAGCGTGTTGTCTCAAACCGTGGCTGAGATTTTGGGTCAAAAATGGAGGGTTGAGATGGGTCTGAAACGGAATTTTTTTAGAAATGTAGGGTTTTCGGGCATTCTGGGTTGATCGGTGGGGTTAATCTGAAGCCTCTGAACCGAATCTATGTGTGGTTGAATGCCAAACAAAGTCATTTTGGGTGAAATTTTATAGATGGGTATTTGGAGGTGTCCTGGATCTAATGGTGATGTTTGATGAGTCTTGGGGGGTCAAGATCGTAGGAATTTGGGTCAATGGAATGTTTCAAAACAGAATCTTTGTTTGATGGAAGGGTAAATGGAGAAATCCGGGGTTGAAACTTTATGAGTAGGTGTTATGGTATGTTCGGAGTCTAAAGGTGTGGTCTGATCGATTCGGATGTGTCAAGCTCAAGGTAATTTGGGTTCTGAGTGTTTAGACTAACGAGAGGGGTTGAAGTGGAATCTTCATTTGATGAGGGCGTAAATGGGGGAATCTTGAGTCGAATTTTTACGAGTAGGTGTTTTGGGAAGTCATAGATCTAATGGTTGTGTCTAATCTAATGGTTGAGATGTAAGTGGGGGTCGATCTAGGCTATCGAATAGGCATCGAAAAAGTTTAACGATGGATCTGAGGGCTTTTGGGCTAAAAGTTTAGTTTTTTTGGTGTTTCGGAATGATCTGAAGGGTCTTATTGGATGTTCGAGGTGAATTGGGGGTTTAGGTGGCAGACCGAGCAAAAATCAGGTGCTAACAACCATTGAACGCATTGAGATACGAGATACTGATGTAGATCCACAACTATAGTTTCATCAGGTGGCCTAAGAAGATGAAGCCCCAAAACAGCAAGAGGAACCAAGACAAATACGGTGACTTCCACCGAGACAATGGCCACGAGACTGAGAGCTTACACGATCTCCGTTGTCACTTGGAAGACCTCGTCCGGCATAGGTACCTTAGCAAGTTTGTAGACAATAAAGAGCACAAAGCCCGAAGAAGAACCACGCCACGCTGACACACCCCCAACCCGAGCTCTACCAACCGGGGTCATCATCGTCATCTCAAGCAGGATGGCCTTTAGTGGAGAGAGTAGCTCGGCCCGAAGGCCTATGCCAAACTACATCAGGTCGAATACAGGAAACCAAAGATACCGAGGCAAAACATCCCCATCACCTTCACTGACAACGACCTCAGGGGGATGTAGACACCACACAAAGACGCCCTTGTCATAACCGTCAATATCACCAACTTTGAGGTATAGAGGATATTTTGGACACAGGAAGTTCGCCCAACATACTCTTTGAAGAGGCCTTTAAACAGTTCGGCATCATAAGAGATTGTCTCACGTCAGTCAACACCCATTTGGTAGGATTCTCTAGAGATTCACGGATACCTTAAGGGAAGATCACTCGGTCATTGTTGATAAGGGATGCCCTCATCACTATCACAGTAATGGTGGATTTCATCGTCGTTTGTGTTCAGCCGCCATACAATGCCATCATCGGTCGACTAACATTGAACATACTGCAAGCCTCAATCTCCATGTACCACTTAGCCGTGAAGTTCCCAACACCTTACGAGATAAGCGTCACCCGAGGAAACCAGAGAGCCACAAGGCAGTATTACTTTATGGCTTGCAGAGGGAAGCCTCACACCACTGAGACACTCACCACATAAAGCATGGACCTAAGGGACAAGCTGTGGACACAATGCACGCCAGCCTATGGAGGACCTCATCCAGGTGCCCCATTTTGACAACAACTCGGAGAAAACCATTCAGGTAGGATCTCTCTTAGAAGGTAGCCTCCGAGACAACATCGTGCAACTCCTTAGAGACAACACCAACGTGTTCACCCGGTCAGCAGCAGACATGTTGGGGATTGACCCCAAGGTCATCACCCACCGGCTAAATACCAACCCATGAAGTAGAAGAAGAGGAGCTTTGCCTCTAAATAGTGGCAAGTGATCAACGAAGAAGTGCATAAACTACTTGATGTTGGCTTCGTCTAAGAGGTGACATACCCAAATTGGCTGGCGAACATGGTGGTGGTAAAAAAACCAATGGAAAGTGGAGAATATGCACCTTCATTGACCTAAGTAGGGCCTGCCCAAATGACAACTTCCCCCTTACGAGGATCAACCAGCTCGTCGACACAACGTTGGGGCATGGGCTCCTGAGCTTCATGGATGCCTTCTCTAGCTATAATTAGATCCAGATGCATCCAGACGACCAGGAGAAGACCGCCTTCATCACGGACCGATGAATGTACTACTACAAGGTAACGCCCTTCGGTCTGAAGAACGCCAACACTAATCACCAGAGGTTAGTGAACCACATAAACTTAATCGAAACGTGGAAGCCTACGTGGATGACATGTTGGTGAAGAGCAAGTAGAGTAGCACCTAGCCAACCTAAAGGATGTCTTTGGCACCCTCACGAGATATCGGATGAAGCTGAACTCAACGAAGTGTGCCTTCGCCATACCCATTGAAGATTCAAGCCATCCTGGACATGCAGTCCCCGCGGATGTATAAAGAAGTACAACGCCTCATTGGACGGATAGCCACATTGAGCATATTCACATCGAAGTTTGTGAACCGTTACTTGCCCTTCTTCAAAGCCCTAAAAAGAGGCGAAAGACTTCTAGTGGATTGAGGAGTGCAAATGGTCATTTTAGGAGTTGAGGCGCTACCTGAATCTCTATCTACGAAGTCGAACCTAGGAGACCAACTCCTGCTCTACTTGTCCGCCAGCAACGAAGTGATTAGTTCGGTCTTAGTAAAGGATGAAGGCTAAACCCAAAGACCGATCTACTACACTAGCAAGATCCTTATGAGCACTGAGACGCGGTATTCAAATCTCGAAAAGGTCACGTTGGTCCTCGTCACCTCGGCAACGGAGCTCAAACCGTACTTCCAAGAACATAACATCCAAGTGCTCACCGACCAACCACTTAAACAGGTGTTGCACAGGTCAGAGACATCAGGGCGTCTGATCAAGTGGACTATGGAGCTAAGTGAGTTTGACATCGACTACGCACCTAGGCCCTAGCCAAGTGCACATTCTCAACTCAGAACCTAGTCGAAGTCCCGCCAGTTTGGACCCTCCATGTGGACAAATCGTCCAATCGACAAGGAAGCCACTTCAGCATCATTCTCCTTGGACTAGGTGACACCATACTCAAGCACGCCTTGAGGTTCGAGTTTAAGGCGTCAAACGAGGTCATGATAGTTAGGCTTCAGCTTGCACTAGATGTCGAAGCAAGACGCGTGGAGGCCTTCAATGACTCCCTACTCGTGGTCAACCTGGTCATTGGTCAGTTCGAGGCACTAGAGCCCACCATGGCAACTTATTTGCAGAAAGTGCATGAGCTCGCTGAACAGCTTGGGCACTTCACTATACAACAAATCTCCAAAGTGGCGAACACCCAAGCCGACACCCTGTCAAAGCATGCCAACTCACCGCATATAGACCTCAACAATACGATCAGAATGGACACCTTAGCGCAACCTAACATCTCGGAAGTAACCCTAGTGGTCATCTCCATTGAGCAAGAGTCGTCATGGATGGACCTGATCATACAGTACCTCTAGAATGACACCCTTCCTAAGGACGAAACCGAAGCAAAAGGCTTACGCACAGGTCGCCCTGGTACTACCTCATTCGGGGCCAACTCTACCGTCGATCACATACTCTCCCCTACCTAAGGTGTCTCCCCCAGCCGAAGCCGACTACATTCTCAAGGAGATACACGAGGGTATCTCATGGACCCTAGCATATAAGGTACTTCGGTAGGGCTATTTTTGGCCCACCATGAAGCAAGCTCGTCCGAAGGTGCGACCACTGTCAAAGGCGCTCGAGAAGGTTTGTTTTTTATTTTCAATGGGAATTCATCCATTGTATCAAAATCAAATAGTTCCATATTAGGAAGAGCATATTTTCCTTGACCAAGTTTCGCATTCCATTTAAATTGAGCTTATTCAATGCTTGTCTATGAAGTTCAAACCAATTTTATAATGTTATGGCTTGAAATAATGTGCTATTTGAACTTCCCTTGGTTTCCTTCTTTTTAACATTGAGCAATAGTGCCTTCATAAATAAAACTTTTTTCTTTGATACAAAGGAAAATAAGAGTAATAAACCAATTGTCTTGGTGCAAACCCTAATTCTCTCTCTCTCTCTCTCTCCCCTGTATTTTCAAGGGGTGCATGTCTATTTTATCAAAACCAAATTGTCCATTTTAAACAATGTGTTATTTTCACTCGGTATATGCCTATTTTCTATAGGTTTATCAGCTCAAATCAATTTCATAATGCATTAGCTTTAAACAAAGTGCTATTTACATTTGATGCATAGGTTCAAAGAAGCTGATGTTTGCTTGTAGAGCCTATTAGCTCATGCACATTGGACCACTACCCACAAACTCTTCCCACATCCCTATCAACAAGATACTTCCACTGTGTGTTGGGAACATCTCCCTTATCATTCATGGGGAACATCTCCCCATGAATGATAAGGGAGATGTTCCCAATGTGTGTTGCTTGTGGGTAGATGAGGTTGTTCCCAACAGAACTTCCTTTGATTGTTACTCTTGTTCATGATTAATGAAGGATGGGGATGACAATTTTTCTACCCTACCTGGTGGGTAATCGCCTCGATAGGTGGGGCTTTTTGCTTGAAGGATGGGTTTTGAGGTTTTACAACCCGTATGGGTATGGATAGGGTACGATATTAGGCTAAACCCAACCATCTTGACCCGCATATTTTTGGGAAGTATATAAACTTTTATGTATTAGGTGTTGAATTTAATAATATTTTGAATTGTATGCAAAGAAAAATTGATAGCTTATGTGTTTTTTGCATGTTTTAATCAATTAATTGGAAAATTTTATTGTTTGTTTGTATTATTTTACCTATTTATTGCTTGTATATAACATAAAAAATAGGAAATTAGACATGGGTTCTAAACGTAACCTATCCCTACCCTTGAATGCACGGATAGTTTTGCATTTTAATGTGTGGAAGGGTTTGGTTATCAAAATCCAACCTGCTACGG